GCGTGCACGCACCGCGCGGCAGCGGCACCATGAGCCGCGCGCACGCACCTGACAGCAGCAGCAGAGCGGGGCCCACACGACAGCTCATAGGGGTGGGCCCACCCTTATCTGGACACGTCAAGCCAACTCGCCGCCAGCTTATCTTATCCCTTATCCCTATCTTATCCTTATCTTATTTTATCTTCTTAAGTAAAAGTTATGAGTTTTAGTTGAGTAGGAAATTAGGGGTTTTAGTTTGAGTTGGATTACCCTAGCCTAGTCGAATCCAACAAGGAATTTTCTTCTGTAATCTCCTATTTAAGGAGCTACGAATTGAAATAAAGCATTCAGTTTTCTAGTCAAGAATAGAGTGAGGAGAGTTCGAGTGGTCTCTTGGACAAATCACCCATTCAGTTTCCGCAATAGGGTCTGCACGCAAGGGAAGGCGCAAGGGAAAGCAGGGCTTTCTCACCGTGGACCGACCCGTGATGAGATCCTACGCGTGGGACCATAACAAGTACCAACAATGCCCCTAGATTTAAGCCCTTTTAAGTTGGAATCTTTTCAGTATTCTTCTTCAAACATCTATTTCAGCAGTTAGTAAATAGTCCTTAAGTTTTGGTGCTGTTTTTTTATAACAGAGAAATTTTCAAGGCTTCCAACCTGCTTTTAGTTCATATTTCTTCATTGCAATTGACTTTAAACTGAGAAACCTTAAGTTGCTTTCGCTATTATTTTTGTCTTGTGTGAATCCTTTTACCTAAATATATTCATTGATTAAAATATGTACAATATAATTACAATTTTAGGGTTGCGTCAGCTACCTCCTCCTTATTCTTATTTACAATTACAAGTTTATAATATCAGAGCTCCCCAAAGCAGAGAGAAGTTTCTATCTTCATCCCTATATTGCAATTTTCATGGCATGAATTGACTTGAGATTGGTTCATCATATCTCGTAAACAATTTGTAAGTTGGCATTGGGTCCTATTCATTAAATTTGATTCATCCAATTTGCAGCACCGGCTTATTAAGTTCTTGAATTTAACTTTTTATATAATTAAATTTGATTCACTTGATGCATCAAATATTGGTAATTGGTCTGAGTTTTTTGTTAAAAGAAAATAAAAATCATTTTAGATTCCTAAGTTAGAAGTTTTTTTATTGGTTGAAAGTTATGAATCATATTTTATATTACCAAAAAAAGTTCTGAATCAACCCCCTGCTTCATTTAGCTCTTTTCTCTTGTGTTACCAAAAAGAGTTCTAAATCATGTTCTAACACTTGAGAGATATGCTTTTTTTTTATCCTCTTTGCTAAAAAGGGGAACTGAGATGCTGTTTCCTATGAGAAATGTGTACATTTACATTTTAAACATTTATGACTTCGTTGGATTTCCTGAACTGTGGCTAAATTGTACACCAAAAATCATGAATTAAATTAATTTGTGATTCTTTAAGTCACTTAAAGAATGTTGGCAACACTGATATGTCCTTGTTATTGTTACTGAATGTACTTTTAGACTCCTTCCCCAGATATGTTTGTTAGGAATTGAAGATTGGATCCTGTTTTTGGGGCTGGTCCTGTAAAGAAGGTTAAGAAAACAAAGAAATTGAACAAGAAAAGTAAAGATGCTCATTTGTAAGTAAAGGGGTCTTGTGGCAGGGAGATCAGGAGATGTCAGGTTTTGGAATATGAAGGAAGGGAGTTGGATGGAATAGGATGCTCCTCCTTTTTACTTGTAGTACAATGTTTTTATCGCTATTTAGGGTGTGGTCATTGTGACTGTCGTACAGAGTTATGGGGTTATGCAAGGTTTGTCAGCAGCTTAGAGGAGGGTGGTTGTCTTTGGGTTGTTTTCTTCTATTTTTGGTGATTTCTTATCACCTCTCTTGCAATCTCCTCTTTTCTCTTCTTTTTCCAATAGATTTTTTATTTATCTTTAAAAATAGTTTGTTTCTTAGAGGGAAGGTGAAGTATTGTATTGTATTCATTGAATAAAACTCAATATCACCATGTAGAGGTATAATTATTATGTACAGTGCGGAGCTATACAAAGGACTAATCCATGTCCCATGATAGCATAGTATAAACCTTCATGTAAACAGAACCACAATGCCAAAATAAGCATGGTGAGGTATCTCTTTAAACTGGTATAACATTCTGCCCTTCCAGTTAAGGCTTTTAATTTTCCAGCTAGACAAGTACTCCCTCATTGGTCTTGGGTGGCAGTATCTGCAATTTCGAAGCTTGCAGAAATAAGCATAAAGTTCTCTCATAAAAGGGAAGTAGAGGAAGAGGTGCTCCGCTGTCTTCTTCTCTAAGCAAAATACACAGTTCATCAATGGCAGGTTGAGTCCCCATCTTTCTAGGCCACCCCTGGTGAGGCACTTTCCCAGGACCACAGTCCACATCATGGTCACTTTTGATGGCACATGTAACAATCATATTTGTTTATGGGGAAAATTTATTTCCAGTGGGTGCTCAATTTTCTGAAGAAAGATCAAGCTGAGAAGGTACCAGGTCTGTCCCATTTCATCTTCATGCTATGGTCGAAAGCTATTAGAGTTGAGTTTCTGAATCTGTTTAACCAGATCTATCTCCCAATCATTCAAATGCCTTCTGGAGGTTGGGCACCGGACTGAGAAGCATTCACCTGAGCTTTACTGTCATTGGCTAAGAACATTTTGTGAGGTGCTATCTCATCACCTCAAGGCTGTTTTGTAATTTTTCTTTTGGTTACTAAAATTTTCTTTTATTATGAAAAAAGAATGAAGGGAAGGTCTTCACTAGATCTCTGTTATGACACCATGTATCTTTCTTTCCAAAAGCAAGCTCTGTTGCCAGCACCAGTTTCATTTTGGCCTCTTGGTCAAAAAGATTATGAAAAGTGTAGCTGCCATTTAATAGAGTGGTATCCAGTTTTAGAATTTTGAATCCCGTAGATTAGTTTTTTTATTTTTTTGTTTAATTTTCTTTTGATTATGTGTTTATACAAACTTATGATTTGTTGCAGTTAAAAAGTTATTAATAAATTAGTTTCTTATTTCTTAGAACTTGGGTTGTATGATGCCTGGATGGTGGATGTGGATATTGACAGTCACATACATGGATATGGGAAAATGGGGATACACATTCCATTTCCTACAATCTTGGACATGGATACAGCTATATGGATACCTGTATCTGTAGTTGCTTATATAACGCTATATCGAGTTTTTAAAACTACATTTCATTTTACAGTATATATTGTGATCAGACCTGGCAAGCTAATTAAATAAATAGGAAAGATCCCAGAAACAATCCAGAAATATTTTGAGCGGAAGTAGGAGAGAAGAAGTTAAAGAACTAGGGCTGAAAGTCAGAAGAGATCGAACTAACTGATCTCTAACTGCCGCTCCACTCTCTATTTATTATGTTAATCTGAAATTATACCACTACCCCTGAATTAACAGAATAAAGAAATAACAAATAGAAAGCAAATAGAAAAAGACCAAAAAGGCCCTAATGACCAGCACTGCAATTTAAAACATATCATTTTACATGAGTGCTGCTACTATAAAGTGTACTTTTAGAAGTGTCCATGCAGTATCTAGTGTCATTTTAGGTTGACACCAGTACACTAAGCATGTACAAGTATCCTTCTATCATTGTTTGGGTTATCTTCTATGCTAAATTAAATAAAGTAAATGATCTTGCTAACTCTCCCAAATTTTTTCTCTGGAACAGCAATAATGGGGCAACAGAAGCAAGCAGGTCGGCCTTATGATGGCAAAGTATACGAGCGGCATGATGCTAAACCGATCAAAGTTGGTTTTCTTTTCACCTAAGCATTTAAAATGTTTTCCTCCTTCCATATTTCATGTCATGGTTCACAAAGATATTTGGTGATTTGTTATTGGTTAATATGTCCATGCGCTTCTCTCTTTTGCAATATTCATCATGTGCCCTTCTCCACTAATACACTATTGGTATCATATACTAAGTTAGCTTTCTCTGAATATTCCCATTTACATTTTGTTTTGGTGATTAGGTAATTTATTGAGAGATTAAGATGATGACCTTTGAGGAAGATTATTTACCAACTTGCAATCCACCTTCTGATGACCTTTGATTGTATGGACTTTATGTTGCCATGTACAAGACACCTTTAAAATCAGATTCTGCTAACTTATTGCAGTGGTTCTTTCGTTTTTTTTTTTTTTTTTTGATGCACTTGTAAAAGCAGAATAAATGTTTTTTTAATTGACAGTTAACTAGTTTTGGATGGAGCATGGGTATGCAATGCAGTCAGAAACTCAGAATATGATACAGGGTATCTGATTGGTAATCTGAGAAACAAGATGCAAGGACTTAAGCAAAAAAAATGTATTTTTCATTGATCTTGTAAAATTTTCATTTATCAATAGAAAATGCATAATCAAGTGAAAAATTGACCTTTGGCCATCTAGTAACTTTTTATTGACAAACAAAGAAACTTATTTGACAAGTGGTAGGACCATAAGAGAATCTCAGAGATTCTGAAGTCCCTTCAGCCTCAGCTTTATTGCAAATTCTTGGAGGTACTTTTTTTTGGGATCCCTCTAAGCCAGATGTCATATTTGGACTGCTCATCCCTCTTTTTAGTTTTTTTTTTCTCATGTCTCTTTTTTCCAATCCCCCTGCTCTATTGATGCTTCTTTGCAGCCTTTTCTAGTCAAAGAGGTTTGGTTTCGACCTATTCCACCTAAGATTGGGACTTTTTGCTGGGAATTGTACTACATGAAAATTAATACTCGTACTCTTCAGAAAAAAAAGGCCCAATTGGATCTTATCTCCATGTGTGTGCTTCCTTTGTAGGAGTGAGGAGCCTTGTTTCCTCCTACAATTCTCTTGTCCATTTGCCACTAGTATTTGGGAATGGTTTTTCTGTCTTTGGTTGCAGATGGATTACCCCTCTGGATGTAGCTAGTTTGTTTGCTTCCTCTTACCTTCAGATGGTCAAGGAAGAGGGGAAGGATTATGTGGAGATGTTCAAGAGCAGTGGTGATATGGGAAGAAAGGATTGAGAGATTTTTAAGGATCAAGAAAAAAAAGAAACTAAAGAAGCCATCGTTGAAACCATAACAGTTGGGGTGGCTCATTGGGTTAAGTCTTTGAGTATCTTCTCTACTTTTTCCTTTAATAATATTGTGTGGAAGTGGGGGGAGGTGGCTTCTTATATCTCAAAGAAAGTAGTGGTGAAAAATGGATGGGAACTACTGGACAGGGGAACTATTAAATTCAACTTTGATGGCAGTAGTTTTGGGAACCTAGGCCCTTCTGGAGTGGGTGGTGTGTTTAGGGATGAAAGTGGAGAAGTTGAGGCAGTATTCTCAGGTCCAATAGGAATTGGAGATTCTATAAGAGCAAAATTGGTAGCAGTGCTTCAGGCTATCAGATTGGTAAAGCAATTGAACTTCTCTAGTCTGCTCACTGAGGCTGATTCAAAGACTATTGTAAGCTAATTAACTAATGAGGAGAAGGCAATTTGGACGTAGAAAAAAGAACTTAAGGAAATTAAGTGGTTGACTTTGAATATGGGAGTTAAATTTCAGTGGTGCCAAGATCTGTCAATTGTTTAGTTGACTGTTTGGCTAAAAAGAGGTAAATAGGGACCAATTATTTTGGGCTATTCTGTAACTTTTACTCCTTTTCTTTTTCTTTGGTGGATAGGTAGTTTAGTGGTATGGGACAAGAATTACCTCTCTTTAAGTGGGAGATTAACTCTTGTTAAATTGACTTTGCCCAACATTTCAGTTTATTACCTCTTGGTTTTCTGAATCCCATAAGCAATAGTAGACAAGTTGAAGAAAATTATGAAGGACTTCATGTGGGAACCAGAGGAAAGGAAAAAGGATCATCTAGTAAAATGGGAGGTGGTGTGTTGAAGGAAAGAATTAGGGGCACTGGGTAATGGGAATTTGGATGAGAAGAATGTAGCTTTATTTGGGAAATGGCTGTGGAGGCTGCTTATGGAGGAGAATTTGTGGCATAAAGTGATTGCTAGCATACATGGGCTCATGGCTAATCGTTAGGATGCTGGCTTTTTCTTCAAGGGTCACTAGAACTTCTCCTTCAAAGGCAATGTCCAAATTCCATTCTGCCCTCCTAAATGGCATAAGGTATGATGTTTGTGCTGGTGTAGTTGTACTATCTCTTTCTATTCCCAATTCCGACCAAAGTGGCCCAAAGAATTGAAAAGTTACAGAGGGACTTTTTATGGAAAGGAAAAGAAGATCCACTTGGTCAATTGGGACCAAGTATGTGCTCCTAAAGAAAAAGGAAGTCTGGGGGTTAGGAATCTGAAGGTTTTTAACGAGGCCCTTCTGGGCAATGGATCTGGAGATTTGGAAAAGAAAGAGAAAGCTGGTGGAGGAAATCATTAGCAGCAAAGTATGATAATGACAGAGGTGATTGGGTTACAGTTTCAAACTTCTCTTTTAAGTGTTCTTTATGGAAGAAGATTATGGAAACCTTTCCACTTCTAAATAGAGGCTTGTCTCTAAAGCTGGGAACTGGTCAAAGACTGAGATTTTGGAGGTGTAACAGTAGGCCTTTAGCTGAGTTATTTCCTCAGTTATACCACCTTGCAGAGAATCAGGATGCAATGGTGGCTGATTAAGTGAAGGACAACAACATTTCCTGGAGCCCTTATTTCAGAAGACAGTTCCAAGATTGGGAAATTGACCAAGTGGCTGAGCTGTATGAATTGTTGTCCAATCAGTCGTTGAACCAGTTGGAAGAAGACACTTGGATCTAGAACTGGACAGCAGATGGGCTTTTTTCAGTTAAATCCTTTACCAGAAATTTAACAGTTGGAGATAGAGCTGATGTTCCTGCTGAAATAATCTGGAAACCGATTCCCCCTTCTAAAGTAAATGCCTTGGTTTGGGCTGTAATTTTGGACAGAAGTCTATCCAAAAAGAACCTGGTTAGAAGAGGGATTCAGATCCAAGACTTTCTGTGTGTGCTGTGTGGCCAAGTAGAGGAGGATAACAACCATTTGTTCCTTCATTGCCCTGTTTCTGCAGTAATTTGGGGGCACTTTCTTTCCTCCCTGGGCTTATCATGGGTTATGCCAAAGGCTGTGTTGGTTCTGCTTTGGTGCTGGGAGCTCCATGGCCTGTCTAAGCTGGCAAAAAGTGTGTGGATGTCTGTTCCTGCAGCAGTGATTAGTACTGATGGTGTGCGATCTGGATGCTCCTAGCTGGAGGGCAGCTTGGACGTCGTCCGCTTCGTTGGCTGGTCGAACTACAAGAAGAGGAATGCTCAGAGGACCCGGGGTGGCTTACCCGGTGTGGGTGCTCCGATGCTTAAGTTAGTAAGCTAGTAAGCTAGTAAGTGAGCTGAAAGCTTGAATGCAAGTAGGCTAGTAAGCAATAAATCGCGCGTACCTTGTGTCGTTGGGGTTGATGCCCTTATATAGGTGAGCTGCCGTATGCCTTACGAAACACCTCCGAGATCCCTGGTCCGTGCTACTAGGAATCTGTTCCGCTCCAGGAGGTGGATTTCGTGTGAGCTGATAAGGCTTGTCGAGTCCGTCCGATCCGGGCGGGATAAGGATAAGGCTTGTGGGCGTGCGGCGTGATCCTGAAGAGGTCGGAGACAGCTGATTAGCTTCTAGAAGTCGTCTATGTGTCACCTTAGCAGGTCGGGCCATCGCGAGCTGCTCAGACCTTGGTCTTGGCCGAGGTACTCGAGGTACCCGAGCTGGCCTGGCTTGCTGAGGTGGTAGGGAATGCTGAGTTGTCATCCAGTTGGCAGATCGCTTCCACACAAGGTTTAAAGTATCAGAAACGCAAGGTGTATCGGAAAGACAATTCTAAGAGACGTATTGGGATACGTTTTGGATACGCACGGATGTAGACAAAAAATCAAGATATGCATAAATATGTTAAGAAATTCAAATAAATCATAAAAAATATATTATTAACAATGATTACAAGTTTTATATGATTGTAAAAAATTATTTAAATGTAAAAAACCATAATTTAACTTTTATATAAAATGTGATATTGATACATAATTAGTAGCCGTTGAAAAATGATGGAATAACTAAAATGTGAAAAAACAAAAAAAACTAAAATATGACTTTATATTACATCAATTTTCAAATAACCGATATAGTTATCTTAATATTTATTAATATATAAATTTTAATAATTAATTTCAGCATTTATTAATAAGCACCACTAAGAAGAGAAAAAAAATTGACTTAAAACTAAAAATGCATGTAATTACAACAAACAAATTGGACTGGTTTAGTGGCGAAATTATGTGCATTAAAATTTGGTGACCAAGGTTCGAGTCTTTCTATTGCTAATATTTGTAACTTTTACACTAACAAAACGAAATTAATGAGAGAGAGAGAAAGAGAGAGTCATTAATTAATAGAATTAATGAGAGATATGTAAATAGGCACTAACATTCAAATTTAAATTTAAATTTGCCTTAAATATAGGAGTAATTAACTAATTAATGAAGAAGTTAGACTTAAATAGATAAGTAATAAAAGACATTAATGAGAGAGATTCGATATTAAATAGATTAATTGAACAAGGGAAACCGAAACGATTCGGTTTGTATCGGCTTGTTTCGGGATTGTATCAGCCGATACAGATCTGATACGGCCCGATACGGGCCTGTATTGGCCAATACAGATTCGAAACGGCCTGATACGGGCCCGTACCGGCCGATACATACGAAAAGAAACCGAACACATGAATTTTACATGTTCTGTGTATCGGTTTCTTATGGAAACGGTACGTATTGGCCGATACGTTATGAT